TAAACACTTTTTAATGTAGAGTCATTGAAAGAAAAGAAACCGTATGTTTTCCAGGGAATGGTTGTCAGATCTCTTATGATTTTTCTGTAGATTACCACTTCAAGAAAACTAACAAAATGGTTATTGGATTTAAAAGGTATTCTCTGTAAGTAAATGTCACTGTTAAATACCTCAGCTATTATGTTTGTGTTTGCATTACTTTAGGGATTTAGATGGTACCATTTGCATATTTTATCCAATTCTCTAATGTTCACTTTGTGAGTTAAAATCAAGATAAATTGCGTAAATGGAACAGCTTGCTGGCTGTGGATAAGCTGATTTAAACTACTGTACACAGGATGAAATGTAAGGTGCTTTGTTATTTGGAAGACACATACACAGTATGCTTTGTTTGTTAAAGTAACATGTTTCATGGTGTGTAAGTTTTAATTTGAAATTAAAGCGGAGTCCATAGAAATATAGCTAATACTGACATCTTTGTGTTGAGAGGGGAAGGCTAAAAATGTATGTATAGTTGTGTCAGGTGTGGGAGTGTGCGTGCAAATAATTTTGCTATATAACATCCTCTCAAAATTTGTATTTATGTGCTTCAAACTCACCCCAGATGTTTTGAGGTATTTATTACAGGATGTTCTCTTGCCCCTTCTTTTCTCTCCATCTAATGTGCACAATGTTTTCTTCTAACAGTGTACCTTTCCTTGTTGTCCCTAAAGGAGGTCTAGCCAGCCCAGGAATGGTTGGCAAAACCTGACCTGTGACATTCAGAAGTTCCTCTCTGATAATCTACCTAGAAATCTGTTCTTTCACCTTCAAATTTCTCCTTTAAAGTTTTTTAAGAGATTAACTTTTGGTCCCCTAAGTTGATGTTTTATTTTTAAATACTCACCTAGCCTGTGTTTTTTTATACTAAGCATCTCCCACAGGTCTAATCTTCCTGTTTGTAATTTTCATGGATCTTAAGGGAGACCATGTTTGCCTATACTTCTAAAACAACATGGAGGGACATGACCAATTAATACCCTCAGATCTACTTAACTTGAAATCCTTTTCTCTTTGCAGAGTATTTTGTTTCTTCCTTTCAGTTGTCTGCCTTTGGTTCATTGACCACCAAATAAGTGCTGAGTTTTCTTCTCCTGTGTGTCTGTGAGTTAAGATAAATTTTTTGTACAATGGCACCACATTTTTCAGCTAAGTCTGCCTTCCTTGCATGTCTGGAGTAAAGGTGTAATCTGTTTATGAGCTGTTAAGAAACTTGTCTACAAGGGTGTTCCTTTGAGATGTGTTAGGCTACCATGAAGATCCATGGTTACTTTTATGTGCTAGTAGTCCCTGAACTGGGGATTTTGAGCTTCTCCGTGGATTTTCTGTGATTAGAAATTAGAATAGTCTTAAAAGCTGCATGAAAGCTTAAAATGATATATTTATGTAATGCTATTCTACATATCGTGCAGCAGGTCAGCATGCTTTATAAGAACTTCTCTGTTTGTGTAAACCCTGGGTACAGTACAGGGTTCACAGTACAGAGGGACTGGAGGGGTAGATTGAAGGCAGAGAGTAGTATTGGTAAGAAGGAGAAAAGTTAGGAAGCATGCAGATAAAAAAGGCATCAAATTACAGTCGCCATTGCCCCTTAAACTCTCTGTCTCCCTGCCTTCTTCCTTCCCTCCTCACAGATTTTGTTAGCAAACTGCAGGGCAGAACAACTTTACTAATGTACTATAAGAGACTGCTTTTCTTCCCTGTACCACCAAGGGAGAGTGAGCGAGGGGCTGTGTGGGGCTTAGTTGCTGGCCAAGGTTAAACCATAACAAATTGTTAGTTATGAAGTGTGGGTTGTGTTGTAAGTGATAATACAGAAGTAATATTTTTCTCCCACATCTGCCTTAATAATGTATTTTCCTGGTTTATTCTCTGTCACACTCAAGTGTAAGTGTAATCAAATGAGTACTCTTCTGTGTAAACACACAGGAAAAGTATTGAAAAATTAGATTCTGAACTACCAGGATGCTCAAAAATAAGCAAAATGCATTTTTGTAACAAGAGCTCTGTCAGTGGTTCTTTTGCAAGACAATTTTGGTTATGTCAGAGAGCACAGTGTCTGGCATTGAGGCAGGCTCTGCCGCTGGCTGCACACTGAGTTACCTATTGCTTGTATGCAGCCCTGCCAACATAAGTATGTATGGACAAGTACATCACATGGATAGAATGTGCATGGATGAAGAGGTAGCAAAGTTTTTGTCCTTCGTTTGTTCTGTAATGTAATAATGAATTTTTTCACAATGTTTTTCTGTGTAAAAAACACAGGAACTTACAGGATTGTTCTTCACACTGATTGTTAGAAATGACTCAACATCAGTCACTCCTTCATACCCACTTTAAAATTGCCAGTGGGAATGCCCTGACGGGTGGGAGGCAAGACCACACCATCTGAGAGTGGTTACTGCTCTTGTGACAAGGGATGGCAGCCAGCTGCCTTTGCATTTTCTTATAGCATTAGCAGGGAAGGAGAGGGGCATTGCTTTCTGCTTTGCATTTCTCTCCTGGGAAGGGAGGCAGACTCCACAGTACTGGAGGGAAAGGTCAAAGTGTTAGTAAAGATTTTGACTAATTTTGGCTTCTGTCCTTCTTCAGACAGGTTTTCACATAGATAGTGCAAGTGTGTTTTCCATTGCACATTTGGCATGGATTTCACTAGGAGGAACTTTGCTAACCTTGAATATTCATCAGAATTATGAGTTATTGCCACTAAATCATCTAGCTGCTGCTATTAAACACTAAAAATCAGAGAATAGCCTATTTTTCTCTGCACAGTAAACTGAAAGCCCTTCAGGCCAACCTAAACTGAGCTGCAGTTGGAAATGAACAATTGGAAATGAACAGGTTGGTGCTCCTGAGCTGTTCCAGGCAATGCCAGTGCCAGTGGAGGTTGCCTGTGCTGACAAGATGGCTGGAGCCTACAAAACAGTCTCACTGCAGGAAAGGGGACTGTACAGAAATCCAGAGCTACTTCTGCAGTGAAAGCTACCTTTTGTGCCATGGATTTAACACAGGGTCTTTTGAGGTCAGCAGAAGGGTTTCTGTGGGGATTAGAGTCAGGTCTCTGTCACAGAGAATTGTCTTTTCAATAGTGTCTGGGTTACTTTTAAGTGCTGTGTTTCAATAAATGTACAGCAGACAGAGGATGAGCTTTGCTGAGCATGGCAGGGCTGGGCAGTGTCCTATTTTGGCTCCTCTGGGTGAAGCTCTGTGAAACAAAGCACTGCCGTAGGGCCATAGAGGTGTTCCTCTCAGGGATGTGGTTTCCCTACCACGGAGCAGGGCTGCCAGCCCTCCTCCAGCCAGCCTGGAGCAATGGGCCCTGCCTAAAAAATAAACCAATTAGCCTTTAAAAAGGTCTCTCTCATTTCTGTAATCCTTCTCGTAGAAGGAATTTGCTGAAGCAGCAGGATCTGTGGCTCTGCTCTTTTCACCGTCCATGCCACAGTCCTGCAGGGAATTCACCTGGTTACAGACTGTTAAGATGAACATCTCTGCTATGAGATTAATTGATTGCATCTGCAAGTGTCTGTTATTGTCATATTGTTTAAACATAGGAAGGGGAGAGAGAAGAAAAATACAACGTAAATAGAAACTATTGATCTTAATTTCTATTTATTTTCATATGCTTAGTGAAAAAGCACACCTATGCCGAAAAACATTATAAATGTAATCAGATGTTCCCTGTAGCAGGTTGAAGTAAAAATGTGTATTGATGTTATGCTTAAAGAGCATTTGACAGGTTTTTTAAATGATTTTTCTGTTTACCCTTTAATTATGCTCATCACTTTAATTTACCCTGTTACTTATTTTCTTACTTCCTAAGATTAGGAACAAAGTAGTATGTTAATTTCCCTTTTAAATTTTTAAGCTAATATTTTTCTCTGAATGTGAAAACTGATAACCAGAGAGAAAAAATTCACTGCAAAAAATTTCCTTTAATTATCTTAATAAGTAGGAATAGTCTCAAATATGCTGAAGGAGTGGCAGCTGAGGAGAGCTGTCACTGGTAGTTCTCATATAGCACATCTCCTCGCTGGTACCCATGAGCTGGATGGTGACTCCAGTGCCTGATGGGCTTCTTCAAGGTGTTGACAGAAATATGCAACTTCTTCAGATAAATTCTGGCCAGTGGCCATGCTTTACTTAGAAAATGCCAGGAGTGGATTTAGTTCTTTAGGAAGGATAGAAGTGAAATGACCTACAAAACAGCGTCAGCTTTCAGAATCCCATTGCTTCTGGTATTTCTGCTGAAGGAGCACTGCTTTCTGGACACTTATAAGCATCAAGTAATGACTAAGCTTCTGACTCTTGGATTCAATTTAAATACAGAATGCATGCAGAGTGCTTCATATAGGTTTTGGGATTTTTTGGTATATGTGCTCTGAAGGTCATTAGGATGACATGATCCAGAGAGTATAAGACCAAAATAGGAAATATTTTCACTTCCTATAATGTTTAGTGAAATAAATAAAAAGAAAGAAATTACAAACTTCTAAAAATAAACATGTTTGCATGTGCCTCTATTTCTGACAAAAGGAAACCAACCTATGGGTTATGACTATATATAATGCTTTAAATTTTTTGTTAAGAGTTCTGTAATTTAAGTTCACAGGAAGATTACAGGTAATTTCTGTAGTTGACTTAGAACTATTCCAGTTTAAATAACCTGAATATTTGTCATCTGCAATTTTGAGAGTATAGCTTATGCTATGCATTTGCCAGTGGAGAGTTCCCAGGACCACAAAATTGTCTTTTTGCCAAATATTACATGTGTGGATTTCATGAAGTGTGGTCTGTAGCTTTGTGGAAACTAGGGCAAACTCTGTAAGTAGAGCATGTCAGGTAATTATTCAAATTTTTTTTTATGCTAGAAATTAACAAATTTGTTCTGTGGTTGGATGTTTTTCTGAGATTTCAGTGAAATCTCTAACAGAGTTGCTTATCTGTTGTTTGACCTACAGGTACATTTATGTTCCAATGGGAGGATCTCAGTCCAGTTTGCTTGGAATGCTATTTTCTACAGCCCTCACTTTTGCTTTTGTAAGCTATTGGCACGGAGGACAGAGTTATTTGTGGTACTGGGGCGCACTTAATTGGTTTGGAGTAATTGTGGAAAATGGCATCAAGAGGATACTTTCCATTTCACTTATTCAAGATTTAATTGTAAGTTGAATCTCTCTTTATTTCATGTTCTTGTTTCCTGGCTCTGTGCTTATCTGAAGTTGCTGGTTACTAGTTTGGTTTAACCAAGATTAAAAGTCATGAATAACAGATAAAAGAGTTAACACTCCCTTGCCCACCCTCCATTCCAACTGGAATTTTGCACAGTATCAGTAAAGCAAACAGTGGAAATATGCATGGTCTTAAAAGCTTCCTCTGCAGTCCTAGAGTAAGCAAATGCTTGTCACGTAGTATATGGCTGAACAGAAGCCAGTTTTAACATTTGTATTCTGATTTCACTCAGGATGGCCTTAAAATATTCATCTTCACTAAAATTAGGAGTATATATTTCTAACCATGTGTTTCCTGGAGAAATGAGCATGTAGCAGCTGCTTGCATCTGGGAACAAGCTTACACTGGGAAATGTTATGCAGCTAAAGATCCAAGTAAAGAAAGTATTATTTTGCCTTGAAGTCCTCTGATATTTTCACTTTGCTGATACTTTCGACCTTCTTGCTGTTGTTTGCAAAGGACAAAATTGACTTTGACATGCAATCGTATGCAAAAAGCACTATTTTAAATTTTAAAATATTTTTTAAATGACTATTTTTTAATGTTGATGGTCATTTTAATCTGCAGGTTTGCTCTCTACTTAATCCCAAATCTTCTAATAACTGTTTTAAAGAATAAATAATTCATATGCCTTGCTTCCTTCCTGTGATAAGGCACAGAATTTCTACTCCTATATAATGTTGTTTTTGTAGAGACTCACTCTCCATTCTGATAGAATCTTGATGCTCAAGTAATGATGCTTGTTCTCCATCCCAGCCATTTCACTTTTCACTGCCGTAGCATCCCATGTGTGGCAGCTGATGCAACTCAGCAATTTAGGAGCCAATAACAGCCAGTGCTACCTTATATCACCCAATTGTCCATCACTGCAATTTCAGTGATAGTCTGGAAGCAGCTTTTTACCTTCCTAGAGAAGGAGTTTATCAGCTCTGTTAATCTTCCCTCTAGGGTGTAACTGAGCTTCACCATCTGATCAGCTGCATTTGTTTGTCTCTAGACTGGAAGACAACATAGCTTTTTAGGCATCCAGCTGTGTGTGGAAATGTAAGTGTAGGGGCTTTTTATATCTGATGTCACTATAGTAGAAATTTTAAAAGAACTCTTAAGGAATTAAGTGCTTAAATATCACAAAAATTATAATGGCTGTGGCATTATGAAGGTGGGGTTTTATTTGTTGGATTAATTTCTAACACATAGTTCCAATTATAGTTAACTGATTCTGGCACTAGGGTTCTTTTTTGCATAAATGAACTCCCTAACAATGAACCAAGTGCATTTTACTCTCTTTCCTGCTCTTTGTTTTCATCCAGTGTTTTTATTGGCCTGTCTAGTGTCTTCCATGTTTCCTTTGTTGTTCATTTCTGTTTGGAAACATAGCTGTAGACCTTCCTTAGAAGACACTTTCACATCTTACCCTGAAATATTTCTGAAGCCAATATTTTTAATATGAATAGTTTTGGCATCTGAATTGGTGCCTTAGACAGATCTTGCTGCATTCAGTAATGGCTGAGTCATGATTTGCTCTGTACCTTGAAGGTTTCTCTACAATGATGTGAGCTACAGTCTTTGCAAACCACTCCTTATTGCTCTTTCCTCACTCTTCTAACTAACTCCCATTTTCTTCTTGAATGCTGAGACTGGGGAGCAGATGAGTAGTTGGATTTTGACATTTCCTTATCAAGGGGTGGAGTGATATGACATTCTCTGAGATGTACCACATTTGAAAGAAACTGAAAATTTCTTAACACCCTGTATAAATGTCCCCCATGTAATCTGGCTTTCGGAAATATTCCAATAGTCCTGTTTTAGTGAGAGGTGTGCTGCAAGCCTAGTCACTGTGGTGCTGAAGACTCCCTTCTGGGGGCTGAGTTTTTCACTTAAATGTCATCTGTTGACAAGCTGAAATCCTTTGCATTCTTGTGCTTCACTCAGTGCCTGTGTTGGCTTTTGAGGGCTATTTTTGAGAAGGAAAGTTTATTTTTGTCCCCAGAATAGCAGATGAGTTTCTGAAAATATACAAAGCACAGGTTTATGCTTTTTTTTAACTCATTCTGTTTACCAAACCTCCTCATATATTATTGTTAAATGGAGTTACATAGTTCAGTTGAGCAGGAGGTGTTTAATTAATAAAATATATAAAAATCTAGAAGTGTAAGTTAAATTTTAATTCTGCTCTGTTTTTAAGATGGAATTAATGACAAACAATAACAAAAATGATATCAAAACTACCTCCTTCCCCTCCCACACTATATGGTCTCAATTCACTTGCAAAGGGAAAATTTAGAAATATAAATAAAGCACAGTCAAATCTCATCCTTCACTGAATTCTTGTGCTGACTATATATATATAAAGACCCTATATTTATGCAGATTTTATGGTAGTTTCAGTCTCAGCACTTCAAACCTAGTGTAATATGAGGAAATAACACTTTTGTAGCAGTCTGACAGGCTTTTAAATGTCATCTGAGGCATATTGAGCTAGAATGAACAAAGAAACATGGGCATTATTTGTGATAAGTAAAATCAGCATATAAAGAAATATTTACTGAAAACAGTAAATTTCCTGGCCCTAAAAAATTGGTTCTGAAACTTTTAATTTATACTAGTTTCAAACCAGTGCGTGGCTTCCTGATTTCAACTTTAAAAGAGCTGATACTCCTTATGTACTTTTCAACTTACACTGTTCTGAACTTTCATGTTTCAGTAAGTTGTGTTATGAGAAGTTGTCTATGTATCTTTTTTCCCCCTAGAGATTACTTGTTAGTTATCAGTAAATGAGAACTGAATTAATTAATATTGCCTTTTCAGCAAAGCATTACATATAAAACATCAATAAATGCTATGCATCATAAGCTAGGGCTTATCTGGGGACTTTATATTAAACAGGAGAAGTTCCGTTGTGTTTCTATCAGGCTTTTTTTGTTTGGTTTGGTTTTGTTGGTTTGTTTTTGTTTGGTTTTTGTTTTGTTTTATATTTTATTTTTTTCAAGTAATATTTAGGCCTGTATTGAGCAAAGTAGTGCTTTGATTCACTGATTCTATATTAATTCCTTACAGATGAACAGAGACTCCACTGGTAACTCATTGGAAATCAATGATAGAATTTGTATTGACTTTTAAAAAATAATGTGCCAGACTTCTGAAAGAAAATACTAATAGCTATCATTCTTGCAGTGTTTTAAATTTTTTTCCTTAAGGAAAATGAGATACAGATCTATTAAAAAAATTAGATCTTGGTATAAAAATAGATTTAAAATTATTTAAACCTTAGAATAGTTGGCAACACCTTAAAATCAATGAATTTTTGAAAAAGAAATATTTGGAAATCATCCAAGAGGAAGATGTAGCAAGGGGGGATGAAGTTGGCAGATGGATAAAATTAATGTTTTAATCTAAATTGAAACAGCAACATTTATCTTTTTAGTTCTTTCTTAAAGTGAAAACATGTCGTTCAGTTTAGTAAGATTTCTTTTTTTAATTGAGTCGTAAAGGTCTCTCTTTTAATAATCATGCTATGATGAATTTTTAGTTTAAGTTCTTTTTCTATTTGTAGATTTATTTAGTAAGAAGCTAAATATGTCATAAACAATTCATTTTGAGAAATCAACTAATTTTAAGGAAGGCTTGTTTTAAAGCAATTTGTACTATTTTTGTAAGTGTTTTGGTTTTTTTAAAAGTATAAAATACTTTGATTTCTACGTTTTTTATTTATGGCTGTAATGAGGTGCACTAATTAATTCTCTTTCAGTATGATGAAATTTCCTACCCAAACCCTCTTTGCAAAAGGGAAAATATTTTGTATATTTGTATGTTTCTGATTAGTGTGATTAGAATGTTAGGTTATCTTTTTCCTCAGAAGAATGAACTCCATACATTTGTCTCTACAGTTAAAATATCTCTATTGTTTTGGATAACAGACGTGGTACATCTGAAAATTGGTATCCTCAGCTTTGCAGAGAGCAGACTTTTAGATGGCTTTCGGAGTTGAGGTGTGGTGAGGGGGCATAAAAATCTCTACAGTTGTTCCTAATAAGCTATGCATTTTACAGTGGTCCGGCAGAAAGCTGATGTGGAGCATGGAAAGGTTCTGACTGGTGAGCTTGACCTCTGTGGTTCGAAAAGGAACTAGCTGATCTAAACAGCTCATTGCTACTGAAGAGGGAAAGGTTGAATTTCTCTTTCCTCCCTTCCTTGTAGTCTTGCTACTTCCTCCTCCACACACCTTTCTGCTGGAATCTTTGCTGAGCTGACTTAGCTCTTTACCCCAGCAGAAAGCTTTACTTCCTCTGGTTACTTTATTGCTAGATGATTTGACTAATGAAGAGGAATCTGAAAAGCATACGAAGCAATACAATGTAAGAGCCAAAAACCAAGGAAAAGAAGTGGAAGAGAAGGAGCTTGACTACTTGGAACCTCCTCCTCGCAAATGTACCTAAATAGTACAGGGTAGTAGATTGAGCCTCTGTGTTTAAAGGCAGCGGGACAAAGAAATCGATTAGGTTCCACTGCAGTAATTATTCAGCCCTATGTTAGGGCCCAAATTCAGCCTAATCAAGATCAAGATTCCTGTGAATTTCACAGCCACTGATCAAATGTATAACTATTCCTTTAATGACAGAATTTCTTTTTGCATGTATAACTCACTTTGAACTGTTGTGAGATAAGTAAAGTTTCCTTCTGCAGCTGAGGCAAGATCTGACCAAACATTAGGAAGTCATTTGAGACAGATACATTTGTTGATCACCTTGTGAGATAAAATCTTTAATAATATCTCTGCAATAAATAAAGACCCTTCTAAGCTGTTCTTCACTATACACTAGGCTTTGATCTTTGCTTCTTTTGGTGGAAAAAGTATTTATATCACTTATTTACTGTTGTCAAGCCTGTCTGGCCTTTTCTTTTTTACTAATAGTTTTGTTTAATTCATACAT